CGTGGAGAGGAGTCACCTCTGAATCTGATGTAACTAGCAGGCAAGTTTGTAAGACCACGCAGCATCATTGCTTCCTGCGTTGTGCAGTCCTCGGTTCTCCCCTGCCACCGCTTCAGGAGGTTGACCTCAGTTCCCAGCAGTCCCTTCAAACAGGCGGGCCCAAGCAGAAAAACTCCCTAAACATGGCTTTATGCCTTATTCTCTTAACGATACTCTCCTTTTCATCTCTCTCAACTCCCGCTTTCCTTTATGGCTGCATTAGGGGGGATGAGGGGGCGAGGGAGAAAAGGTCGGGGCTAAAACAAACAGGAGATCGTGGAGGGGGGGGGGGGGGAGGGGGATCAGAACGCACAGTAGCCTCATTCAGCTGCAACATTTAGAAAAAAAAACAAGCAGCTTTTTACAAACACACTGAAGTGCCAAGCGAGGCTTGTGACTCTTCGATCAGTGCAGACCTCTTTCTCCGTCATGCAACTGCAGTATTAGAACTATACAATTTAAATCTGCACTCTCGAATGGCTCCTCCATTCCTGGGTCTACGTGAATGAGCAAGTTCCTACCTTTTGCTGCTTTATCTTGGGAAGATTATTGGGAATGGGAGAGGGGAAGAGGAATGTACCTGATTTTTTTTCCTCTCCAGCTCTTTTGAACAGTTTGGATTTGATTCATTCAGAGTTATAAGAAAAGCCACAGCTAAACTGTAGGCATATAACAGATTAATTATGACCTAAAAGTGCAATATAAATAAATAAGTGAGAACTGACCTGTTGTTTGGATGGGATTTCCTGTCTTTTACTATCTTATTCGTTCATCCAACACTGATACTCTTTGAGAGAAAGTAAAACCCCAAGAAGGTAAGCGATTCAAAAATGTGAACAGACGCTTTGGCCTTCCCAAAAAATATGAACACTGAATGAAAAGTTTTTCGTGAATGTTTAATCTGTCATATCCAAAAGAGACCTTGGTTGAAGCAGCAGAGGGTGATTGAAGGAGGCCAGAGCACAAAGCCCTTTTTCCAAGAAACCCTTTTTTTTTTTTTTTGGGACCCTCCCAGGAACATTAGCCACGTTTTTTAACCCCGAGGAAGCTGGGTTCTTAAATTTTGTTCTGGCAATAGTTTTTTGTCCCCCGTCCAAACATCCCCCTGGGCCAGAAAATGTTCCTCACACAGGCAAGGTTTATTGGTTTCCAAGTCAATATTAAGGACTATGAATGCTAATGAAGGATGGATAAATTTTGATATTTTAAACACGCTATAAGCAAGACGAAACATAACACTCAAAGAATCAAAATCACCACAGTAATTTCAGGAACACGTTACTGTGTTGTTGTCCCAGCCACATGCAAAAAACTCACTTGCTTTTTCCGTTATCAACTCCTAATTTACTTTTATCTTCCGTGACTCCTTCAGATGTTGTAGATGTGCAAATTGGAGTTTGGCACCAAAAAATAAGCTTTTGATTCCTGACTGAGGTTTCCTGCTTTATCTCAGTTCCCTGCGAAAATTAAATAAAAAAATAAAAAAGGCGCCAAAAAAACGCTTCCTTAGAAGTTTGAGTCCCAGACCCACCCGCGTACCACTTCTGAACGCCAATGGCATAGACCCAGTGTTTTCAACCTTAAGACAGTGGCTGTCCAAATGCCCCTCCGCCTGCCGGTGGAAAGGGGCCTTTCTGGAGTTGTACCAATTCAAATCCTGATTCCTCCGCTGGATCTCACATCAATACCATGCTTCCAGGTGACTTCTGTTGTGCTCCTCCCCAAGAAAGCAGGTCCTATGTGACGGCCTTGTATTGTGGCTTTAGGTGGATGGCCACAATTCGAACCTGAAACATTATATAGCTTCTTTAAAATTCACGCAATCGTCTCTCAGCAAATATTTTTTGTTCCGCCTTGTGTAACAAAATATACGTACTCTGAAAGGTTTTTTTTTTGATATTAAAGATAGACCATAAGATAACAAGCCAGCTTTTTGTTGTCATTAAAAAGCCTCCATTTTTTCCCACAGCACTCTTTTTTCATAAATACAGCCGTCATTCGGCTGGACTCTTCTTTCAACATAAAAGTATCAAAACATTACCCTTGAAATGTCCTTAGGTCCCTTTCAAGTGATGTGACCCGCCTGCTTTACGCCACGCACCACACCAGAGTAAAACACCAAAGCCTGTTAGTGGCCGCAGAGAAAAGCTACTCAGGTTTTCTGTTGACACACGCAGTGAAATCAGGCTTCCCAGAGCATCACCTCATTTTCCACCATTCACCTACACGCCACAAAAGTCTAAGCGGCGGTGAGATTTTGTTGCGGCGTAACAAGAGACTGCTACAAATGCGTGTGGTCCCAGAGAAGAAGAAGCTAAATAATGCAGACCCGGCACAAAACGAAAATAAAAGTGTATCATGCTTGAAAATCTAACAACAGAAGCAGCTTGTTCCATGGGAGAGGAAATGAGGAAGTGATGTGGTATTTGAAAGCCCTGCAACACTTGAAAATCCAAACAATGCAACCACTGCCCCCCCGAGAGCTGTTACCACCTTTTTACTTATTTACTTGACCTTTATGAAATTTACAAAGAGAATTGGCTAAAAACAAAAAAAAAAAAAAACAGCAATGAGAATTTCTGTGGCATTAATAAGGTCTGCAAAGGCAAACAAAGACTGGGTTTTAAGTGGAGATAGCAAATAAATCAGGGGTAACAAATGAGTTTATACACACCAAATGCTAGGTTCAATAAAAGGGTAAGCATGCCTTTATCAAGGGTGCTGCCCACAGCACAGGCACACGCAACACACACACACACACACACAATGTGCTCTTCCAACAACACGCTGGTTTAAAAGAGCCCCTACAGCTTCAATTGGTGTTTTCAGGAAACAGTGACCCCCTATTTACATCCCCCAGCCAGCAAATTACCGAAACTAACATTCTTCACCACCTCCCGGCCCCCCTTGGCCCCGTACAAGCAAGGGTTGGGCTAACGGGTGTAATTTTTCTAGACATAACTTGCCATCCAAGACGTGGCTTTATAGAAGGCCATTTTGGTGGTTTTATCAGCGCGATGCCAGAAGCTGTGTTCATTCAAACACACCACATATAATATTCTGGTGACAGGATCGCAGGTAAGGGGGGGCAAGTTACCAAGGTCCTCACGTGGCCTATGAAGAAAAGCAGATCCTTGTATGAAAAACATGTCGGGTTGACAATTTATATCCTGTGTCCACAGAAGGGGCTTGGCGATAACAATGAACAATATGTCAGCAGCAGACCTGAGGTCACGCGCCAACCACAGGAGTTTCGATCAAATACGAGCTCCCGTCTCCATGGTGCTAAAAGAGATTAATTCCACCTTGATCAGGTGATTTACTTGGAAAGCAGCAGAACATGGGCATACTTCCGCAGAGGATTACGGACTGGAATTATCATTAGCTGTTAACATTTGCTGTAAACAAGTGTAACATGTGTGATTTAACATTTTTTGTTTAACAAAGACAAAACGGCGTCCAGAGTTTTAACCAGAGAAGCTGAAGAAACACAAAAACGCTGAATACATACAGTATTAATGTTGCGATGGTTGACTGTGCTGTACTGAAAAACGTCCTGGCAACTGTGCTGACATTGCATTTATTCCACAATGTTGTTTATTAAACAAGGATTCAACCGAGGATATTAAGAAATGCAACTATTTTGTAACGATTAATAATTAAGTCAATTACAAGGCAGAATGCTCCAGCTTTCTTAAAATGTGGATGATTTTGCTGTTTTTTCCCCCCATTTTAATATTATAAAACAGTCATCTTTATGATGTTCAAACAAAATGAGCAGTACTACAGGTCACTTGAAGCTCTTGAGAAATTGTTAGGCACTGAAAAGTAAACACTTTCTTGAAAATAACGATGGGTCACAATAAAAATGGATTTGTTTAATTGCTCCCCCATTTTTGCCACGGTAAATGCCTCCCTGGTACATAAATTTCTAGACACAGATTTGAGCTTGGGTTAAAGGCTTACTAGTTTAGTTACAAAATTCCAGCCATCACTTCTTTGAACCTTTTGATCAATTCAGCGGCAGAGAAGTAAGCAACAGCATCATTTAAAAAAAAAAGAAAAAAAACACTTAAATTAAACTCGTCTTAATCTCTTATTTGTTTTTTGGAAGGTTGTTTTATTTACAGTGAGCCCGCTGCCCTCACCAACATATCAAAGAAGGGCTTGAGAAACATAGAGCCTTGCACTGGCAGCAGAAGCTATGACCTTTGAATGGTGATGATGATGAAATGGTGGGATGATGATTTGATGGTGGTTTTAAATATGGCTTTGAGTTCCAAAAAGCAAGAGGGTTTTTTACAGCCAGACTTGGCCATGTGCATTTCTGCAGGAATGATAGCAATACACTCAACAATTATATAGAATTATAAAAAACACATGAAAAAGTTTACAGTTGAACAAGTTTAAACTCATCTTTTGTCAGTAAATGTCGGCTTCTACTCATAAACTTGGGATATAGACCATGTTGACTAGGCAAATTGACGCAGGGGGACTACACTGGTTTTTACACAATGTAAAGTGGTGTGCAGGGATGGATAATATCCAGAAAGCAATAAATGACGTGTTTAATAACCACACACAACACATAAATAAATTATAATATATAGCCGTCACAGAATATTAAACTTCACAACAGAAAACCTGTGCTGCCATAGTCAATGGCACCAAAGTAGCAACCGCAATCAACTTGCCACGTCCAATTTTAAATTGCCCAGCGTGGAACTTGCAGGGCTTTCTTTCGGCCGACCGATCAAAATAGACAGAAAACAGATGCCATCAAACTACAGGGCCCAAGCGTTCAACTTGTTAGGTAAGTGAAATAAAACACGAACTCACCGGCATCAATTTTAGCTTTCGTACCGCAATTATAGCCTAAACCAAACAACAGCACG